ATTATATTACAGCTTAAGAGAACGCATCAATCCCTGAAGGGCGAGGTTACAACAACTGTCAGTGAGTCTCATAACCTTCGCCTTCCGCGGTCCTGTTCAACACTTAACATAAGTGCCAGTGTAATCCTTCAGTCAAAGACCAACTGAATCGAGAATACACTAGTCTTTTTCCAAGTGGGGTCTCACTGCCAGTCTAGAATGTGAACGAATAGTTTAGTCTTATAAGGAACCGATAGGTGATCTTTCTGTTCGAAACTTTTCGAACCACACTACCTCAATATAAGACATGGAGTATGTATTGCATAAATAAATAAACTGCAAACATATGTACTTTGACCGAAACATGATTGCCAGATCAAAATGGAATTGATAGAATCTGCAAAACATAGCTTTTACAGCATACCTCTAACATGTCATTGCCTCAATATATGCTTGATTGCTTTGAGTGACATTTATCTGCCTTTTGAGGTTTTGAGCCTTACTTTTTCTTCTTGTGAGATATTGGTCATATTCTTGCATGATTAGAACTTGCCTTGAGTTTTTTTTTTTAAAGTAATTGATTAGAGTTTGAAAGTGTGAATGTGATTGAGGCATTTTGTTCGATTAGCTCTCTTTAGCCTTGTTCTTTGATCCTAAACGTTATTTTCCCTAGTAGCCCATTTGAGCTTTGAGCCTTTTTCTTGTCAACGATACATGAGATATATTTTGCTGACTGATTTGGTGATGATTGATGAAAATGAGGTTGTTTTTTAATGGGGTGAAATTTGAGTTGTGATATATTTGCTTGACCCAGTTAAATAAAAAAAAAAAGCTCGCAAGACGAATCGAGTGGATTCTGCTCCTCTTACCAGTCGATTCATATTGACGGGTAATGAGCGTTGGAAAACTACTGTAGGACACTTGGATGACCTTCAATGTTCACACCTACAGAATGTTGTCCTTTTGATTCGATCTTGTTCAGAAAAAGTTACTCTCTGAATTAAAAAATATTAACAAAATATATATAAAAAAATGAAAAAATTGGGTCAAGTGATGTTGCAATTCGATTAGAGCAGTTAGGTGTTGTTTGTGGAGTTCTTTGGTGGATGGTGAATGTGCTATATTGTTTATTCCAGATTGGTAGCGGAGAACTCGAGTAATCTAGTTGCTCGAGAATTGTGATTGTTTATTTGAGCTTCTTTTCTGCATATATATATCCTTACCTTGAGCCCGCATTACAACCCGTGAAGTCCTCTTGATTCGTATCTTTTGAGTTTTGATTGTTTTCAAGTAATTTAAACGATGGGCAAGCATATGTTGAAACTTGAATAGTGACCAATTTTGAGCGTACCTATCACATATTCATGTAAGAAAATGAGTGAGGCATATATGATAATCTATGTTTTGAGAGTTTGTCATTTCAAGGCCAAGTTAATATTTGAGGCATATGATCATACGTTCATTGGAATTCGACTTAATTGAATTGGACATTTTGAGACTCTTCTTATTTGAAACCGTATCATTGCTCGTGTCTTATTTTCTTTTTTTTTTGTTCGGGATGAACAAAGGTTTAAGTGTGGGGGAGTTGTTTGTCCCATTTTTGTTGCATTTTTGTGCTCATTTTGCTTTTCTTTTTCTCCCGTTTTAAGTTGTTTCTTTCGTTTTTAGTTTGTTTCGTGTTTTATTATGTGTTTTCGTTCATTTTGAGTATATATGTGTTTTTTGTTTGTTTTTCTGGTCTTTTTTGTGTTTTGTCATTTTTGGTGTGTAGGTCGGGAGTTTCGAGCGAATTTTTTCTTCAGTAAAAATTGGTTTCAAGAGCATAATTGAATAGAGGGGTTCGTTGGCGACACGTAGGAAAAAACGACACTCAATTCCGAGTTCAAACGAGCATAAAATGCGAAGTGGTGCAGGCCAGACCTTAGCGGCGCTAACCCCTGCGCAACCAGATTTTATAAATCTCGGTTTTTGCTCGATTTTTTGAGGACCTTACATTGGGACTCGTTCCCAGCACCGAAAAGCACCTCAAAACTCATCTTTATTAGTTTTTCACCATTAAGAACTTGAATCTTCATCATGGATTGATCTTGAAGAGTGACACTCCAAAGTTTGTTTTCTTGTTTTTGGGTTTGTTTGTACTTTGGATTTGGCCTTAACTTCTATATTAATCGTAAACATTAATTTTCGTATAATCTATGAGATTGATGATATGTGTTGATATGGTGCTTCGTGTTGAATTCATTATGCGTAGCTAAATTCGATTGTTAGGGATAGGGGATGATTGTTCTTGTTTAACATGTATTTGTCGGGCTTGATTTATTCATTTTTGTGTGAGTTGATTTAATTCGGAACTGCTGAATTCTTGTTCGATTGATTGATATAATCGAAGAGTGATACTTCGATCTTGCAATTGTTGACAATTGAATGTTAATTTGTCGAATTAGGGCTTTGATGATTCTAAATGATTAGTTGATTAAACACCTTCTAATTGAATAAGCGACTTTTAGAACCGAAAGAAGAGAAGTCGTAGAACCTAGGCTCGCATGAGGTAGATGATTTCGTAATTGAATAATCTATATGTTTTGGATTGAAATACATGCTTGTTGACGACCCGTCGCTTGTTACGAAAAGTTATTGGGATTGGGATAATTGGCTTGTGTTGTATGCTTGAGTTTGTCCGTCTATGTTCAATCTCTTGTTACAAAGAGTTATTGGGAGCGACCGCTAAATGATTAAGCGAGAGCGTCAACCTAGAATCGAACGATCGATGTCCCGATTTTGTTAAAGAACTTGAATTAATTATCCCCGACTCCCTAGCTTCTCCATCTTTGTTTCGTTCACATTTTTAGGTAGGTTTTGTTTTTTATTATTTCTTAGCTGATAATTTCTCAAACCCGCTTTTTGATTAGAATGTTTAGGATTTTATTTTCTTTTGTGTGTAATCGATACCATTTCTAAATTCCGAACCGCCTTCCTTGTGAGATCGACCCGGAGAACGAATCTTTCGATTCGGTACTCGGTAAAAATAAAAATTTGTATACAACAGTGCCTTTGACACAGGACTAGCTCCAGGTACCAAGTCAATAGTAAACTCGACCTGGCGGTCTGGTGGTCCTCCAGGCAACTGCTCCAGAAAAACATCAAGATATTCGCAAACAATCGAGACCCTCTTCGGAGTCCTCTCGGTATCATCTTTCACCATACTCAAAAGGTAACCTTGGCAGCTACCCTTCGACAAACTCTTCATGGTTGAGAGAGAAGAGATGACTCGAGGCACGATCCTCGATTTCACACTATAGAATAAAACAGACTGATCATCATCGAGAAAGAGAGTAACTTCTTGCTCCTGGCACCGGATGTTGGCTCGATAACGAGTGAGCCAGTCCATGCCCAGAATCACGTCGAAGCCGCGCATATCAGTTACATAAATATCGGCCTCCAAGTCTCGCACGTCAATTTTGACTCGCAAACCACGGATCAAGGAATCAGAAAACAATTGTTTTTCCTGAGGCTAAGATACCCTCGAGAGGATCAACTTTACTCACCACACTAATTAATAAAGCCTCCAAGCAACGAGAAGATATAAAAGAATGGGTGGCTCCAGTGTCACACAAAGTAAATACGGGCACATTGGATATTGAAAGCATTTCGGACATGGTACCTGAGTTGTTGGCGGCCTCCTCACGAGCAAGGGAATAAACACGGGCCAGGCCCCTGGCTCGCTGCTAGAATGGTGGTGGCTGCTAGCCATTCTGCTGCGTGGGCGGCGGCGGTGGAAGCTGTTGCTGATAAGGGTAAGGCGGCTGTTGTTGTCTCTTAAGCTAGGGGCAAACTTTGCCATAATGACCGGGGCGGTGGTAGCTGAAGCAAGTGCGGTGCTGCTTAGCATGGTCCACTGTAGTATTTGTCGCAGTTGTTGTAGGTTCGATTGCCAGAGGGGCGGTTGTTGCGTCTGTTTGAACCTCCACGTTTTCCCTTCCGGTTATCCTAGTGGGAATCAGCCTTTCTCTTGCTCGAACTAGAGTCGGTCGGAACAGAGGTAATATGATGAGCTTGCTGAGCAGAAGGAGTGGGGGCATAGAGAGTCTGGCAGCTATCAAGCTGGATAGCAGGGGTCATGGTTTCGCCATAAGGAAGATTCTTCTGGCTGGTAAGGTGCATGTAGAGGGTGGGGTGCAGTCTTTCATGGAACTTTGTGGCTTTCTTCAGTTCAGTATCCACCAAGTGAGAAGCAAAGGCACTCATGTGGGTGAAACTCCGCTCGTACTCTTCAATAGATTCGGTCCCCTGATAGAGATCCCAGAATTCATGTACCATTCTCATACGGTAGCTCTAAGGAAAATACTACTCAAGTACCACATCCTTCATCTTATCCCAGGTCAGGTTGGCTAGCTCGTCCGGCCTCAGCCTCCAGTATTCGGACCACCAAGCTCTAACGGTCACAAACAACCTTCTGAGCATCAGTACACTGAAGGAGATCAAAGATCCGCTCGAGTTTGTGAATCCATTCTGCCACGGCCGTAGGCCCTTCAACACAGGTGAAAGCCGGTGGGCTCCGCCGTTGAAATTGGAGAACCACATTGAGGTGATCATCAACCTGGTTAAGAACCGACTAATGGGGTGGAGATGGAGGCGGAGGAGGCTATTGTTGTTGCTGGCTGTTGCAGGTTTGACGTGCCACTGTTCTACATTGAATAGGCTGAAAAGATTTAGCACAAGGTATAAAGTTCTATGGTTCAACATTAAACACTAGAGTTCACATTTAACCCAAGGAGGATAGATTTCCTAAGTCCCAAAATTGCACTTAACAGCAAGTCACAGTAGTTTCATTACTACTCATGCAAAACATATACACATATCACATTATAAGTAATCTCATTATTACTTAC